AAGGAATAGAGCCAATGCTATCGTGATAGCGTTGTATGGGGACAGATGGCAGCCACACTTGTGCGTGCAGCGTACGTGTACAGACTTGTCAAATCACTATGCTGTACACCTGAAAACAATGTAATATCGTGTGTCAACTATACTTCAATTAAAAAAAAATTGCCGTAGACATTGAGACTACCTACAATGACTATAATGCAGGGAATGACTACAATATGGGTAATAAATGCTCTTGTAAGTTAAAAGGATTCCAACTCTGCTTTCAATAAAATTGAAGAAAGACCAAATGGAGTTGTCAGCTTATTGATCATTTGATGATAGTTTTTGATGAGACATCCGCTTGTGAATTGGGGTTTATAATTCAGAAGGGGCTTAAAGAACTGATTGGCATTGCTATAACAACTTCTTCCATCCTCATCCACTTACTTATCTAAACAATGTTTCTCAGCATTAATATCAAAGCAATGAAAAATATTAAGGGAATTTATGCTGAGCCCTGTGTTTTTCTAGCAATAAGGAATATTCATCCATGGATATGTGAAGTAGTAGAAAAAATCTCAGCGCCACCAAACTCATTAAGAGATGCAGCTCCAGTAATATTTTACTTTTATGTTTAATAATTATGTATTTCAACTATACTGTTATTTTAATCAGTAATCAATTGTGTACTAAGAATAATTTTAATGATAGCTCAAGCTAGAATAAATTAATTAACACTTAGAGCATTAAGGTCTTAGGAGGCAAAATTTCTTTTAATAAACATATAATATTCAGACAAGTATAAAAGGATATTCAAGAAAAATGTTTCAAGCATAAAAATTACTTTAGGATTACATTTCATGGAAAAGACGGAATGGAAATACAAGTTTAAGGAGAAAAAGAAAAGATGTCAAACTTTCACTCTGGTAAAGAGGCGTTTATTTATACATTTTTTTAAATGGATAATGAATAGGTACAAATAGCGAATCATTATGTTGTACACCTGAAACTAATATAATGTTGTACATCCATTGCACCTCAATAAAAAATTATTTTGAGTTAAGTTTCTCATCAATAAGAAATATTTAAAAATTGAGAGATCGCCATCTACAAGCCTTGATCAAAAATTTCCTGTTGTCATTTCGAGCACTAAACCTGATACATAAAAAGAAATGGATGATGGTAGGTAGATCAGATCACACTGACACTAAGTTTCTCCTGGGCGCATTAAAATGAGGGATGTGACCTTTTTTTTTATGTCAATAATTAAAATACATTAGAAATGACATCTTTTGCAAACTTAAAAGTTAAAGAATTTTATATGTCAAATGAAAAATACATGAGGGTAAATACTGTAGAATTCCATTTATATGATGTTACAGAACAGAGAAAATTAATCTATCATAAAAAAATCGGAACCCTGGTTGCTTCTAGGGGGGCTGGGGGCATAGACCAACTGTAAAAGGATTCAAGGGAACTTTCTGGGGTGATAGTAATGTTCTATGCCTTAACAGAGTTTGAGGTTAGAAAGGCAAAAGTGTCTGTCAAAAATCATCAAATGGTGTACTTAAGATGTCTACATTTCATTAAGGTAAGTTTTATCTCAAGAAAAAAAGAAAAACTATAAACAAACATATGTCATGCATGCAGAAGAATTTAGTGATGAAATGAATTGGTGTCAAAAAATTTATTTGGAAATGTATAAAAAATAAGATAGATCGACAAATGGACAGATGTAGCTAAAGCAAAACGTTTATAGTAGAATCTAGGTGGCGTGTATATGTTGTTCACTGCTCAATTATTTCAAGTCTTCTACATGTTTGAAAATATTCACAATAAAATGTTGGGGAAAGTATACAAACAAGAATATATTTTTTCATAATTCTTTAAGGGACATGTGGGCAAAAGTTTGAAGCCCGTTGGTTTCTATCACCACCATTTGCTAATGAATCTCTAACCTAAACTTACAGCCCAAACCTCTCTCCAGAATCTCAATCATCTTTCCATCTGTCTCCTGAACCGCTCCATCTGGATTTCCCATCAGATCTAAAACTCAACAGATCCAAATATGAATTTATTGTCTTCCTGTGTCAGTTAGAAATACCATCAGCTACAAGTAACAGAATAGAACAAACAAAACGAGGGTGATTTTTCTTACATAACAAGAGATCTGGAGGTAGGTGGCTGCTGGTGTTGATTCAACAGCCTCAACGATCTCCTGGCTGGCAGGTCTACAATTCCCTTCCCTCACAGTCACAAAGTGTTCTACAGTTCCAGGCATCATGTCTGAGTTCAAGATAGGAAAAGGGGGAAGGGAGCAATGCCAGTGACAACTGAGCTTTTATCAACACAGCTTCAGATTTTCCAGAAGCCTCCCAGCAGACTTCCCCATAAATCCCATTAATCAGAACTGTCGCCCTAGCTGCAAAGGAAGCCAGGAGGCAAGGACTTAATTTCCTTATCCTCTAAATCCAATGCAGTATTGGGTGATGGCGTAAGCCCACCTACAGTATCTGTAATATTCTCCGCCAAACCTGCCCCACCTCCTATACTCCCCATCTTACCCAAGTAAGGAGCCCCAGGAGTCATCCTTAGCTCTCTTTCTCCTCTGCTCCTCATATCTACTGTCTTTTTCTTTTCTCAGTCTTTGAATCTCTCTCACATCGGAGCCTCCGTCCCACACCCACTGCCACTGTCTTGGTTCAGGTTCTCATTTCTTCCCTGAAGTCTCTTAGTCTTAAGTCTTAACTTCAAACTATCCTCCATGTGGCCCCAGGTTGACCATTCTAAAAATAGATATCTAACCATCTTATCCCCTGCCTGGATCTTGTCTGTGGCCTTGCATAACACCTAGTTTAAAGGCTAACTTCCTTAGTATGTCATGTAATGTAGTCCCCCAGTTTCCTTAATAACATACTCTTGAAAATGCGTCGTTAGAGTGCTCCAGTCCTGTCAAGGATCAGGTCCCCTAAGACACAACTTCCTAGAGGGAGGAGCTGGGGAAGTCCATACTCAAAATCCAAACCTGTTGTGCTAGGCAGGCAGCCATCTGTCTTTAATACATTTGTGCTAAAACTGTAGTATGAAAGAACAATAGATTTACATGTTATGATAGGGGTTCTGTTTCCAGAGACTATAGAATATATCATCTCTAAATGCATTTTGTCTTGGAGACATAAAACTCAACAACATATTTAAAGTATAATATCGTTGTTGTTCATTCGGTTCAGAAATTTATTGAATGCCCACTATGTATCAGACACTAGGCTTTAGTTTTTTTCCTTTATAATAGAACAGAGATGACAGATCTAGAACAGTGTTCGACTGAAGCTATCTGCCTCTTTCTGCATACCTAATGACTTCCATCTTCTTCTCTATTGCACTATTTAAGACTTATTCTTATCACCAGAATCAGCACTTTCATTTTTCTGTCTTCTACTCATTTTCATAAATAAAATTCATTAGATATTCAAACAAATGTCTAAAAGCACAGATGGAGGCAAAGATGGCAAAGTGGTAGAAACTGGTTGATTGATAGAGAGCAATGTGATAATAGCTAAGCTTCATAGAGTACTTATTCTGTGCCAGGCATGGTTCTAGGCACTCTACAAATAGTAACTCCTTAATCTTCACAACTCTATGAAGTAGGTACTATGATCTCCATGTTGCAGATGAGGAAACTGAGGCCCAAGGGTAGTTTTGCACCTCTGTCAGCTGAAAGCTATGCCCAACACCCCCCAGCCTCACCTCCTGTCTGCTTCACTTGAGCTAACTACATTTCTCCTAGTTCCAGGGGGTGGTCTTTGGTCTCTCCAGCCCTGTGCTTTTTGCACGTGCTGTCCCTTCTGTCTGGACTGCCTGTGGTCTGTGCTCATTCTTGGAGACCAGGTGAGGCCCACTCTCCTCAGAAAAGTCTTCTCTGTCTAATGAGGTGAAGTCAGGCTGCACCTTGCCCAGCCTCCTCACCCTGCTATATTTATGTGCTTACAGCTCTCTCTCGACCACCAGAGATGATGCTACCAGACCTGGCTCTCTCCTCATTCTTGAGTCCCTGGGGCTTGCTACTATGCCTGGCTTATAATAAGCACTTCAAGGTTTGCTGAATCGATGCACAAGATCCCTGGATTTTACACTTTCTCGTCGCCCCCATGCCGTCTGGCACCACATATTGCAGACACTTAGTCAATGGGAGCCGGAGCCTGGTTTCCCAGCCAGCAGCCTAACCTAATAAAACAGAGCAAAACAAAACCCGCCCCCTTTTCTCCCATCTCCACATCACAATAATCCCCGAGGATCTGAATTCCTTTCCAAGCCCTCCCATCAGGCGAATCCAGCGGGACCCGAGGGGTCTGACGGACACCCCTCCGCTGGCTGGGCGGAGCAGGGTGGGGAGCTGCCGTCAGGGCGCAGGGCAGCCGCATCCCGCGCCTTCTGCCACTTCTTGCCTATTAAGGTTAAGAGTTCCCGGAGGAGCGCGGGAGGGACCGACGGAGGGTCCCCCAGAAGGGGCCCAGCGGCCTGTGCGCTCGTCCGGCGCCGGGGGAGCACAGCCCCGGGCCGGGTGCCCCGCGACGGGTGCTGCCAGCTTCAGGGCGACCCCAGGTCCTACTTTGCTCTTCTACCCGAGGCCACCTTCTTAGGTTTCCATAGCCACGGGGGCCGCGTCCTCATTCTCCACAGCCACCGCAGGCCTCAAATGAGTCTCTACACAGGGCGCTGATTAAATGGGTCTCGGGTCCCCAGCGGACGCTCCTTCCCCGCAGATGCCCGCGGAAGCACCGAGGGCGCTGCGCCCGCGGGGCCCTGCAGCGGGTGGACTGACCCGCGTTGCGGGGGCAGGGCGGGGGCGTGTCCTTCCGGCCGCCGGATCTCCGCCCCCTCTGCGCCCCCACCCCACGCCGGCCTCTCGGGGTCTCCCGGGGCCGGCTCCCGCCCCGCGCCCGGCCCGGGCCCCGCCCCGCCGCCCCGCCCCCCGGAGGCCCCGCCCACAGCCCCATGCGCTCCGCCCCCTCCCCGCCGGCTCCCGCCGCTCCCGGCGCTCCGAGCGCGGGCCTGGGGACTCGGGATCCCGCCGCCGGGGCCGCAGCATGGGGCGCTTCCGCGGGGGCCTGCGGTGCATCAAGTACCTGCTGCTCGGCTTCAACCTGCTCTTCTGGGTGAGACCCGGAGCCGGGCAGGCCGGGCAGGGGAGGGGCCGGGCGGGGGCGCGGGGCCGGGGTCCCCGTGGAGCTGGCCGCTGCGGCGTCCGAGCCGGTCTCCAGAAGGCTGGGCGCTCAAAAAGGCGGAGGTGAGGAAGAGGCAGACAAAGAGGGAGGGGAGAGAGAGCGGGAGGGATGGAGCGGGGGGGAGCGCAGAGGGAGGGAGAGATTGAGCAACAAGAAACGGTGAGAAGGGGGGACACCTTGTGGCTCTTCCCTTTGAGGAACCTCCGCCTCAGCTGGTGACTCCAGGTGCGGGGACACCAACCCCTCCTCACCTCAGCTCCTGAGGAGTCGCCCCCCCTTTGCCTCCGGGGCACTCACCCCTTGTCGCTCTGCCTCTCCACTGCAGCCGGGGCCTGGCCAGGGCGCTGGGAGAGAAACCCCTGTGCCCGAGCGGGGGCTGCCAGGGGTGGTGCCCCAAACGGCGTGTGTGGAGACACCACCTGGCGGTGATGGTTTTGTTTAAGGAAATTGGGGGTAGGAGTGAAAATGGCATTGGGGGGGGGCAGGTGTCGTCCTTATTCTGGGTATCAGAGGAGGGTACCTGGCTGCGAGGAGGTGGTGGTGCTCTTCCGTGAAGCGGATGGACGGCAGAGAGGGGCTTCCAAAGGGCAGCAACATCTCCCCACAGCCCCTAGCCCACAGCCTCCGCTAAATACCACAGATGATCTCATTCAACTTTGCATCGAACAAACATTCCCCGGATTAGTGGTTCACAGAGAGATAGGGGGCCATGCCCCTTGTCTCCTATATTATTGGGACAAGGTTAGGGCCAGACCATCCCTAGATCTCTGGATACCCTGTCTCAGGCCCTGGAGGACTGTAAGACAATTGTCTGCACATTCCTCTTGGGCTTTCTCAAGAAACTGCCAGTCAGTATAACAGCTCAGTTAGACCCTGGGGGAAAATATAAATCTTGTGTTGGGTGAACAGGTTCCTAAGGCTAGTGGGGAACAGCAGTCGCCTGGGTGCTTTGAAACAACCAGGAGAGAGGAGGATGGTGATTGTCCTATCTGCTCCAGGGAGTTTGTCTTCCCGTGACTGCAACTAATTAATTATTGAATGATGGGCTCTGCTTGCGTCTGCCAACCCATTAGCCCAGATGCCTGGGTGACTCCAGCAACCCTAACCTCTCAAAAGACAACTTGCCACGCTCAGCATCCTTCAGCAAGGGAAGGTGTGAAGGAGGCGCCCCAGGGACGGCCCCTGAATTTTAAAAACACATATGGTTTTTTAACACCAGGCATTTATACTTAGCATACTACAGGGAGGGACATTTCTAAAGGTCCTTTATGTTGTGCTTTTTAATAGTCTGGCTTAATTTTAAGAGCTGTTCATTATAGATGTCATGCTTCGGTGACACCATTCGCTCTCACCGCTTACAAATTCAAAACAAGTTTTCTATCAGCCCCAGAAGGACTTCTCAGTGCTTATTTAGTGCCTGGTGTTGTACCAGCCTTTCCAGGGGTCATGGGAAGCATTTATTGAACGTTTTCAGTGTGTCAGGGACAGTGCTAAGCACATTGCATTCGTTACTACACTTAATCCTCGCAACAATGCTCATGTATATAATATTGTTATCCCCATTTTTACACATGAGGAAACAGAGGCTCACGTAGGCTGACTTGCCCAAAGTCACATAGCTAATGTGTGGCAGAGGTGGGACTCAGAATCAGCCTCTGTGGTCCTAAGCACTGTGGCACATTACACTCCTAAGCGGTGGTTCTCGGAGGGTGGTTCCTGGACAGGCAGCATCAGCATCTCCTGGGAACTTGTCAGAAATACACATTCGCAGCTCCATTCTAGGCCAACTGAAGCAGGAACTCTGGGGGAGGGACCCATAATCTATGTTAGCAAGCCCCCCAGGTAATTCTGATGCTTGCTCAAGTTTGAGAACCGCTGTTAAACAATTATTAAATAAATATTATAAAGATAATATATAATATATATATAATATATTTATATATAATATATAAATATAAGTAAATATTTATAATTTGTAAATATAAAATGCTGTTCCTTAAGCTGCTAATGTTGTTAAGGAAGTAAGTCCAGTGCATATAGAACAACAAGTTAATAAGTATATAATCAAGTAACAAATGTCACACTTCTGGCCATAAGCCTAGTAAAGAGGGGAAGTAGGAACAAAAGTGATGTTTGAGTGTCTGCCATGTGTTAGCCACTGGGGTTAGACATGACCTTTTATATATATGATCTAATTAAGGAGTTCAGAGAACGATGGGGCACCTGTGTGGCTCAGTCAATTAAGCGTCTGACTCTTGATTTTGGACTCAGGTCATGGTCTCAGAGTGGTGAGATCCAGCCCCACATCGGGCTCAGCGTTCAGCAAGGAGTCTGCTTGAGATTTTCTCTCCCTCTCTCTCTGACCCTCCCCCTTGCTCTCTCTCTCTCTTCCTTCCTCTCTCTGGAATAAATAAATCTTTAAAAAAAAGGAGTTCAGAGAAAGGATCACAGCAACAGTGAAGAGTCAGGACAGTTGTCCTGAAAAATAGGGTGTTTAAACTGGACCTCAGAGGACTGGTAGAATGAAGGTGGGCGAGGCAAGGGGGGTGACAGGCCACCCGCCAGCAGAGGAACAGCGCAAGGCTGAGTGTGACTACCATCTGACAAAGGGGTCAGGCTTGAGTGCAGAGATCCCAAGCAGGGTGTGCTTGAGTAAGTTACTCTTACTTCTAGGTGTCTGTTTGCTCATCTACACAATTGGGATAACGGGTTATCAGGAAAATTAAAATGAAATATATAAAGAGCCTGACCTCATCTTCTTATGAATCTAGTACATAGAAGGTGCTCAAAAAAACATTGTTATTAGTGCCTGCACATAGGAGCATTCAATAAAAGTTAACTCTCTTTCCCAAGTCCCTTAATTTGGGGGAATCGCATCTATGTTTGCAAAGTGACTTGCAGCTTGTCTGTTTTAGGATGACTACACATTATCCTCTCAAATTGTACTTGTGAATTTTCCCCACTAGAACTTGGAATACTTTGAGAGGAGGCTTTTTTTTTTTTTTTCTGTTATGCTCACAATTATATCTCCAGTGCCTAGAACAGAGCCCGGCATGCAGGATGCATTCAGTAAATATCTGTAGAATGAATGAATGGATCTGCAGGTTAGAGCACTTGGTACAAATGGCCTTCCCAGTTTGCACAGATGATAATCAATGATCTGAGGACTGATCCTACCTCTTCCTGTGCATTAGCTGTTGATTTGTTCCTTGTTTGCACAGACTGAGCCCAGGAGGGGGGTATGGGGCCTTCCTCTCTCCCAACTCCACGGGAGGGTGGGGACCGAGGGTGTCTGAACAGTAGCAGTTACAGGAGGACTTCCCAAGTCTTAGACCTGCACCACCATAGGGAAAGGGCCAACTGAAACTAGTACATAATGCTTTAGGGGAAGGTGATTATTGGGGATAAATTATCTAGATATCTGCCTTCACCATAACCGAGGGAACCTGATTCCAGAAAAGCCCCACCCTAGTTTCTGAAGTTGTTTTTCCTGCTTGGAGGGGTTCGTGGGAAGTTTGGGGAAGGGGCAGAAGGTGGGGGCTGGTTTTCCTAGAAGGCTAGGCTTTCGCTGTGACTTCAAGGGTCTTATTCACTCACCCCTTCGCATGCTCGGGTGCCTGCCCTTGTGAGATATAAGGTCCCCCTCAGTGACCGCACTCTTTTTCCTATCAGGAACTCACCAGAAAGCAGGCAAGGAGGTGGGGGTGGGTGTGTTCTGTGACCTGCAATTTGTCCCCTTGGGTGACCACACTCTCTTTCCTATCAGGAATTCACCAGAAGGCAGGCAAGGAGGTGGGGGCGGGTGTGTTCTGTGATCTGCAATTTGACATACCAATTTGCAGCCTCCTCTGGCAGCTTGGTTTAAGTAAGTTTCCCTAGGCTGTGCTCCTGATCTTATAAACATTCAGCTAGATCCTGCCAGAGCCAGCACAGCATTGCCTGGCCCAGGGCCGCTGACTGTATTCAGCACTACATTTTTAAAAACAAAAGTAAAGCCTGGCCATGAACCCCACTAAATTCATTTCTGTTATCATGGTTGATGTCTAACCTGGAACCCCTCCCAACATCGGTCATGTCTAAATTCGGATGCTATAATCAGATAGCACAGCAGATGCCCATGCCTCTCACTGGAATCACCTTTATTTTTTTTTCCTCCGTTGCATAGCAATATAAATAAAACACCGCAGTCCACCAAGCCACGTATGTCGGTTTAAAGAAAAACCTGGGCGCTGTTTATTCCTTGCTTTATTGTTGTACGCTTAGCGTTTTCCTATCATTGTGCTGTACTGAGCAAGTCAGTGTTAGCGACCGACAGGAAGCGGGACTGTTCCTTGTGGAAAGTCACAAGCTGTATATGGCTTGTCTGAACTTGCTTTCCTTTCCTTCCCCCCCTGCCTTCGTGCAGCTTTGGGGGTTCAGTCAGTGATGCCTAACAGGGGCCGTTAGGAGAGATCGTGTCCCACAAGCCTGGGAGTGAAAGGTGTTTGATGTGGCTTACCCAGGCTGCCTCCTCCTCTTTCTCAAACTTATTTCAGACAGTAATTTCAGAGCTACCACCTGTCAGGAACACTGGTTTAAAAAAAAAATACTGGGCGCTTGGGTGGCTCAGATGGTTGGGCGTCTGCCTTCGGCTCAGGTCATGATCTCGGGGTCCTGGGATCGAGTCCCGCATCGGGTTCCCAGCTCAGTGCAGAGCCTGCTTCTCCCTCTCCCTCTGCCACTCCCTCTGCTTGTGCTCTTCTGTCTATCTCTCTGTCAGATAAATAAATAAAATCTTTAAAAATAAATAAATAAAAATAAATAAATAAATAAATACCTGAAGAAAGTATTCTTTGGGGTCCACCCAAAAAGCTAGACCACCCCAGAAGGCAGATAGGAATTTCCTTGGTTTTCTTGTAGGATAGTCTTCATTTCTGATTTCTGTCAAGGCG